CTTGCACATTGTTTTTACATATATACGTAGTATTATTTTCTGGGAACTATGTAGGTTTTACAGTGAGGGGTTATTTTGTTCAGAAAGATAACTATGTTTTCAAAAGCTTTGTTTTTGCTCACTCACCCTTCTGTTTTGCGCCCTTTGATGTCCTAGGTAACTGTTCGTATCTATTGCTCACGAGGACTATCTAGCACTTCTGACGTTCTGATGTTTCCATAAATAAATGTAGGGTTTTTCTCCCTGATTGTATAGTTAGTACTTGTTCACTTTGACTGCATTGTTGGATTGCCTATGCTCTGAATACTTGTATTTGGTTTTTGGTTTAGCAAGTTATTATCGACGCTTTGTGAAATATTTCTCAGCTATAGCTTTACCATTGATGAGGCTAACTAGGAAGGGAGTTAAGTTTGAGTGGGATGATGATTGCAAGCAAAGTTTTCAGTAGCTAAAGTATTATCTCACTCATGCGCTTGTTTTGCCACTTCCGAATGATAGTGGGAACTTCAAGATCTATAGTGATGCTTCCTTGAATGGTTTGGGCTATGTATTAATGCAGCATGGCAAAGTGATCATGTATGTTTCGCGACAATTGAAACCCCACAAGATGAATTATCCTACCCACGATCTCGAGTTGGCAGCTATTATTTTTGCACTGAAAATTTGGAGGCATTATTTGTATGGGGAAAAGTGCAAGATTTTCATCGATCATTAAAGCCTTGAGTATATTTTCACTCAGAAAGATCTTAATCTCAACGGAGATGGATAAAATTGCTCAGTGATTACAAATGTACGATTGAATGCCACCCCAGTCAGGCGAACATGGTGGTGGATGAACTTAGCAGAAAATCATGCGGCCGACTTAATGCTCTACATGCATGTCGTATTCCTTTCCTCACAGAATTGAGATCTACTGGAGTTGATTTAGAAGTGAAAGATTGACAAGAAACCTTACTTGTTAGTTTTTGAGTCAGACTAATCTTGATAGATCATGTGCTCAACACTCAAATGAATGATGCAAAATCTCAAGAATTAATTTAGGCAGTGTCAGACGGGAAAAGAAAGACCTCAGGATTAGGAATTCCGATGGTATGCTGATGCAGGGCGACCAAATGTACGTGCCTAATGTTGAAGAATTAAAGAAAGATATACTTGATGAGGTGCATGTTTTGGCTTATGCGATGTATCCTGGGAGTAGCCAGATGTATCACACCATTCGACCCTTCTATTATTGGCTCAGAATGAAAAGAGAGATTGTTGAGTATGTGAGTCGTTGTGCAGTATGTCAACATGTCAAGGCAGAGAGGAAGAAACCTTTTAGGTTACTACAGCCACTTCTCATACCTCAGTGGAAATGGGAAGATATTACCATGGATTTCATGTACAAGCTTCCTCATACGCGAAATGGTTACGATGGTATTTGGGTGATAGTTAATTGACTTACTAAGTCAGCGCACTTCCTGCTTGTTCGAGAGAACTACTCTTTAAGTCAATTAGCTAAACTTTTCATCTCAGAGATTGTCATGTACCATGGTGTTCCAGTGAGTATCATTTTTGATCGGGATCCTAGATTCACTTCTAAATTTTGGGTAGCTTTCCAGGAAGCTCTCGGTTCAAGATTGCTCTATAGCACGACTTATCACCCTCAGACGGATGGGCAATTTGAGAGAACCATTCAGACGCGAGAAGATATGCTGAGATCCTTAGTTTTGCAGTTTGGAGACTCTTGGCATAAGTGTTTAGCTTTGATCAAGTTTTCTTATAATGACAACTATCATTCTAGCATTGGCATGTCACCGTTTGAGGCGCTTTATGGTAAACCATGTAGTACTCCATTATGTTGGTCTGAAGTCGGCGAGCGAGTGTTAGTGGGCCCTGAGATTGTTGATGAGACAACACAGTATACTTAGGTCATTAAAGATAACCTAAAGGCAGCCTAGGATCAACAAAAGAGTATCGCCGATAGACATTCTACTAACAGGGTATATAAGGTTGGAGATTAGGTATTCTTAAAGCTATCACCATGGAGAGGCGTGGTACGGTTTGGAATGAAAGGTAAGTTAAGTCCTCGTTATATTGGACCGTATCAAATCACCGAGCAAGTTGGTGAAGTTGCCTATCGACTTGAGCTACCTCCACAGTTATCAAGGGTGCATGACGTTTTCCATGTGTCTATGTTGCGTAAATATGTCTCTTATCCATCGCATGTAAATCCTCCTCAGCCACTAGAGATTAACCTGGATTTGACCTACGATGAGGAGCCGGTGATGATCTTGGATTGGAAAGATAAGGTTCCCAGGAACAAGACTGTTCGTATGGTGAAAGTTTTGTGGTGGAACCACTCAGTCGAGGAAGCCACCTGGGAAACTGAGGAGCGTATGCAAGACCTATATCCACGTCTATTTTATGATTATTGATTTGTTATGTTGAAATTTCGGGGTCGAAATTTTTTTAAAGGGGGTAGACTGTGACGGCCCGTCCCAATTTATTATATAATTTTCTCCCCGAGTGTGTAAAGTGATGAATATACCCTCGTTGGCTTAGTGACATGGATGTACATAAGTAGTTTTAAATTATTATTTCTGTTGTCGTAATTAAATCATGCTCGATGTCACGAATGCGTTGACGCGAGTTAGGCCCAAATCGGAGTCGTAACAAAAAAGTTACGATTATTTGAATACGTAAATGGGTAAATAGAATTGTATTTTTTCTTGGATGTTGACCCTTATGTGCATCCCTTACCCAATTATTTTAGTTCCCATGTTCTTGAGCCAATCAGATATGTGGCCCTATTGTTTTTGGACCAATTAAAACTGGCCTTCTCTTTCTATTCTGCCTAATCACCTACGCACACACACATACACTCTCATTCTCTCTCATTCTCTACTCTTCTCCCTTCTTCTTCCTTTGCACCATGACACGCCCACACCCAAACCCATCAAAACCTCACAGATTGAGAGTGAGCTTTACATCATCGTGTTCCCCGTGGCCTCACGATCCTAGTGATACCATTTGATCACCGAACGGACGACAGGAACTTGAAAACCAGAAGCTCCGGTGAGGAGCCAAGTTTACTCCGACGCGATCCTGGTGGGGTTAAGGAGTTTTAGGACTTGGAAAGTTGTATCACATATAGGTGAGACGTACCCCGAGGACAAGCGTGGACAAGCCAAATTAGGGGGCTACGATCCTGCTACTTATCAGTAAGTGGGCATTTGCTTTCTATACACACACACACACACACACACATATGCTTTACAGTTTCCAGAAAACATTTTAAAATTAATTATGCCTTGTATGCCATGTCGAGTATGCATTATATTTATACACATTGCATTGTTATGAATTCAATTACATTGAATGATGCTACAAAGGCCCAGGTAAGATCCAAGTGAGTTAGTATATGGTTAAGTTGGTTGCCTTACATTGGTATGCATAAATGCCTTTAGAGCTCATCATTGCTGCACCCCGCTGTTAGTGCTCCCGCCCCAGGCCAAGGCATAGTCCTTCACGTGATTGTTCACCTTCCGCACTGCACGCTCACCTTGGATCCAAGTCTGATGCTAGCCTGTCGTACAGACCACAATAGGTGGTTCCGACTAGTAGGTGACCCTCGATTTATTGCACAGCCTTCACTTGATCGTAGCACTAGAGCCTACATATTTACACCTAGCCTTGTCGTACATGTCACATTATGTGACTCCAACTCATGTGCTAGCCTAGGTTGATGAGCTATAGGTCCAGTCGTACAGGTCACGTTAGGTGACTCCGACTGGCATGTTATTTTATATTGATTCTACACCTGGCTTACATGTTTTAGTGCTGAAATGTTATGACATGGCATATTTTGTTTTCACTACCCTTGTGCGTTGTTTTTAGATATATATGTAGTATTATTTTCTGGGAACTATACAAGTTTTACAGTCAGGGGTTATTATGTTCAGAAAGATAACTATGTTCTCAAAAACTTTGTTTTTTCTCACTCACCCTTCAATTTTGCGCCCCTCTAGGTCCTAGGTAGCTGTTTGTATTTGTGGCTCATGAGGACTATCTGGCGGTTCTGACGTTTACATAAATAAATGTAGGGATCTTCTCCCTGATTGTATAGTTAGTACTTGTTCACTTTGACTGCACTGTTGGATTGCCTATGCTCTGAATACTTGTATTTGGTTTTGGTCACTTCCACACACTTATATATATATATATATTATCTCTAGTTTAAATAAGTTTAGGTTTGTTTTGTTTTTTTTTTTTATTATTTATTCACATATTCTTGTTACTATCACTTTTGTTGTGCATTATGTTACGTCACCCTCATGTGATGGTCAGCATGCCTCGACTCAGGTCAAGGTATGTCAGATTTAGCATGTAGAGGAAAGATTCAAGAGCAACGACTATAATCTTCCGTAATAAGATATGATAGCAAAATCCGGAGAGAGAGGGAGTTGAAGACATCCAAACATCCGAGTGAACTAAATAAAATGGGAACGGAGCAATAATTTATTGGAATTGAAAGGTAGTTTGTGTGACTTCGAAAGTGCAAAGGGCTTACAAAGCGCCTTATTTAATTTAGACAGAACCTTAAGACAATTTACATAAAACTTCAGAGGATGGATGACAAAGATGGGAGTACCACAAGGAGGAGGAGATGGCATGGAAGGTAGACAGATGAGACGAAAACACGAGATATAGGTGACCCTTACAACGGAGAACCAGTGTACAAATCAACTCTACCAAAAGGATGAATAACAACAGCCACGAATTGTTTTTGGTAATTAAACACATTTTTTCTTGGCCTCCCACCTGTTTACTCCTATTCATTGTTTTCATTTGATTCATACGGCCATAAATAACAAAGGGCGTGAGAAACTAAAGAAGTCATTTGATCTATCAGTTGTAAAACATTCCAGCACTCTTTCGAGCCAAAACAAGTCGTGTTCATATTCAAGTCTGGATCATGCAATGTAGGGACTGTTAAGGGACCGAAACAATTCTCAATCTAAAGGATGAAAAGAAATTCTAATTGAAGCTCAAATGAGCAATGCTTCTTGCCTAAGACAGTAATCTTACTCAACAACAAATATTAATCAGAAATCTTGAGTAATTGATGCAGCCAATGATCCTGGGGCAATGGGGCTGTAAAAGAATGAAAACCCCGTTTTCTGCTGATATAACTAGCGGTATACATCTAAATGATCAATACATCTTCAAAGAATGGGTATAAAAAAAACATATGGGAATCGGAGTTGTACACTCACCTCTGGTTTTCCTCTCTCTCTCTCTCTCTGTTCTCTCTCGCTCTCGCTCTCTTCCTTCTCTCACTCACCTTCACTCTCTTCTTATCTCTCACTCGCTCTCAATCTCTTGTTTCTCCCATGTGGAAGCTCAGGTGGCTTGAAGGCTGAGAACTGGAACTTTAGAATCACCAGCAACATCCTATTGAAAGTTGGAATCGCCTCAAACTTTTTCATAGAATAAGATATAGGCCTCAGAGTGAAGAACCTCGTCTAGGGAAATCTGACGCACAAGTGCATCACTAGCATAATACCACACATGACCAATATTTTCTTCCTCGGCTTTTCCTCTGCCCCTTTCGCCCCCTCTCACGTATGCAACATAGTGGCCCCCTCTCGTGGTTCCAGAATGCTCCACAACCCCCAATAGCTGGTATTCATACTTCTCCCCATCTGTGGAACTGTAAAGCTCAAAAGAACAGCATGGCCACACTATTAATACACTTAACAATCGGAAATGTAACTTGCAATCTATACAACCAATTAACCCAGTCACCACCACACAGCGGAAACTAGGAACAAAAAGAGCTAACAAGTACTATGTGAAGCACATGTAACTACATTATGAGTCGATATATGCATTGGTAGTATCTTTTACATTATGATAATTTCACAAAAGGTTCACCCATGAATTGGCATTTCATGTAAATCAGATGAAGCAAAAAAATTGTCATTGTTTGTAGAGCTGACTCATTTCAACTGCGTGAAAACAATTATGCATAGAATGACTACTTGATTCTGTTTCCAAAAGATATCAAAACAAACTCTACGTATGAAACAACATATGGAACAGCAGAAAAGAAAGGCTTAAACAAGTATGGAAACCTATGAAAAAAAGTTCTAAATGTTGAAAGCACTAATGTAGCTTAATTTCTCCGTGATGTTCTTGGTAGGTTAACTATTCATTCAATATGCTTTCTCCATTATGTGTAATAATTTCACTACTATTTTCTCCGACAGGTAAAAAGGACTGAGTACCATTTTTTTTTTCCTATTTCCAAAAAAAAAAAAAAAAAAAAAAAAAAAAAGAAAAAAAAAGGAATTTAACCAGTACCAATGACCTTCCAATTGATCATTAAACCACTAAATATGTCATGATTATCGTGTGTGGTGTTTCTTCCATGAAATACAAGTTCTTGTTTGTTAATGATCTCTTGGACTTCATAAATTGTATACGGATGTCAACCTAATTATTGGTTTATGCACTTTGATTTGGTTGGTTCAAAATTTGTGCATTATGTTGAAGCAGCAAATTCTGAAAAAGATAAGAATAAGAATCAAAATGAAGAGGTACAATCCTTCTGGACATGCATCAGCTCAACACAAAAGCTCATAATGAAGTTGCCATGAAACAGGAATTAAAAGACAAGGCCAATTGAGACTAAAAAAGAAAAAGCTAAACAGACAAGGCAAAAGGGGCAGCTGTGAGTAGAGGTTTTAAGACATCTGATGGAGAAAAATTAAATAAAACCTTGACCAAAAGAAATTGGTAGTTGAAGACAAGGACCATCGAAAGGGGAATAACTAAAACTATAGTATAAGGAAAAACCTTTGGGTAGAGTCAAGCCATGATCATATCAATTAGGATTAACTAAAACTATAGTACAAGGAAAAACCTTAGGGTAGAGTCCAAAGCAAATTTCCTGGTGCATAACTATAGCTCACCTCCGGGCATAATTAGGGTTAGATGCAAGGGCTTGACCAAATTTCTAAGAACATTTGTACGAGGAAACTGGTATAAATATGGTAAAGTGTTCCGCCTATGATTAAGAACATATATCTCATCTATGATTACGAAGCCTATAAATGCAGGATTAGTGAAAAAGGCGCCATTACTAATGTGTATTCGTTCTTCAATGGCGCACTCACAATTCTATCCCTTGAAAGCTCTATAAATGGCTAGAATCTTCAATAGATTGGGAAAAGAGTAGATTAATAACAAAAAAAAAATTTCGAGGAAATTTGGTAACATGGGGGAAAAATAAATGGATAACAAGATGAGGTAATTTGGTACTTAAGCAATGGAGAGAATAACTATAGCACTCTCTCACAAATATGGCTTCACATATCGAGTTTCACTTAGGGCTCCCTAAGGTGGATGATAATTAAAATCATTGACTCGAGTCTAGTCTCTTCAGACTCTTAATTCCCACCTCCCTATACTTCCATCGGCTACTAAGATTAATGACGTTTCAGACCACTAGAGGCACTTGAGTTACAACTATGATGTATGGTTGATCATCTTCTGGAACCATGTCTTGCCCAGTTTGCACGTGATAATTATATCCTTGTGAATCAGTAATAACTGACACTTATTCTCAAATGGTTATGCAAGCACCTTGGATGCCTATTCTATTCTATGCTATTCAAATATGTCGATCCTTATTGTATGTTTCAAATGTGCCTGCGAACCACAATCTAATGATAACTCTCAAATTTTAGGTAAAAATTCCAAAACAAACACACAAACTATCATTGTTCTAAAAATCCCCACCTAGCACCGGCCACTGGCCTAATTAGTCCCTAGGCATTTGAAAATTAAGAAAATGCGCCTAGACCCAATTAGGCTTGTGCTTGCCTGCCTAACCCGCCTAAACCCGCCTAGGTCACGACTCTCACTTAAACTTTCATTTTGCATTTTAATTTTTCAATAAAATGTAAGAGACTTGTTGAATACTTGGATGAACACTCATTCTAGGCACGTTCCCCATGTTTTCAATATGTTCTAATACTGTATAATTTATAATGTCATTCTATTTTGCAATTTATGTATCCCAATATAATTATGTGTTTTTTTTTTAAGTATAAATAGACACTTATTTATAAATATATAATAAATTTACTTAAATCCGCCTAGCCGCTAGGCCACAGCCCGCCACCAGACTAGCGCCTAGCGTCATTTAGAACCTTGCAAACTATACACATTGCATTATTTCAAAGAAAACAAGGTATAAAGATAATATTAACTGTATAGTCACCTTTCAGCTCTATGCAGGGACATCCTCTATGTAGTCATAGAATAATTCCTTTCCGAGTAGTGTATATTAAGAGTTCAAGTTTATGAGGTGACAAATGATCTGCCCAACCATGTCCCATCGCCCCCTCGTAAGCTGCTATTGTCTACCTAATAGCGCTAACACTGATCACCCCCTCCCGTTATGATAGTATAAAATGGTTATCCTACCATTTTAAATGTTTCTTCCAAGATAGGGCCAAAACAAAATCATGAGTCCATGACAAGCAGTAAATTTCTGTGGCATTTTGAATGTAAAATAAACTTTAATAGAAAGTAAGGTAAATACCTGGAATCCATATATGGCCTAAGATCAATTTTTTCTCGAAAACTGACATGGCCGTTCAATTTACTCAAGCGACCACGAGCATCTTGGCTGAACCTTTTAAGATGAATAGTCAAAATAGGTGGGGCCCTGTTGATGAAGCACCTTTTAGTCGCATTCCTCATCACATTCACACGTTTGGAATTTATTTCCTCATCCTCACTTTCTTCAGATTCACGATGTCCATCCAATATCCCATCATTAGTCTGCGGTACAGTGTCCGCGGTGAAACTAGCACTACTAGACTCATCAGCCCTAGAATCAATGACTTGATCACAATCTGAAGTATTTGATTGCACTGGAGGAGCATCTTTAAACTCATCTTGTCGTCTACAAACAACAGAATTCAACTTATGTGATTGACCATTCTCAATTGCTGAGCAATTTTGGCTCAAGCAATTTATTTTTCCATCATGCAAAACCAAGTTTTCACCAAACTGGTTACAACCAGTATTGCTTTTGACATTCCCATTACCAAGCCTTCTGACATCGGCAGGCCACGGACCCATATTTAAACTCAGTGAATCACCTTGTGTTCTAGTCTCACATCCATTTAGCAAAACTTTAGCAGCAGATTTTACCTGCTTCTTTTCTTCCAACTTTTGGCGTTGAAGAGTTTTGGAACAGTTCTCACAATGCCAAGCATTTTCACTGGCAAGAAGCTCAGGCTTTATGAAATGAGCCAAACAACTCTCTACAGACACTGGAGAAACAGTATCATCAACTTCATCTGGATCAGACTCGCTAGCTATGATACTAGTGTCCGTGCCCCCCTCACCTACAGAGGGTCTTGTAGGTGGGCCATAAACTTCAGGTTCGTTGAATAAATCCCCAAAGCCAAAGTCGTCTTGTCCACAACCCACAACCGAGGAGGAGGCCTCACCTTCGCCTCCCATGATTTCCTCAGTGATAGAACACTCTGCTTTATACGGAAGCAACAAAACTTCAGAATCCTGAACCTGTAATGGGAGCTCTTCCTCCCAAGAATTCACTGAAGAAAAGTCAGGTTTTACATTTGGTTCCCCATTAGGCATAAAAACCTGATTACTAGATTCAAAGCCACTCAGTAGAGAGGCATCATTAAGATGTGTATTCTTGTTTTTGGAATCTTGAAAATTTGAAATATCATTATTTTGTGAAGATAAATCATTGTCATCTAACATATTTCCCGAATCAAGATAATCCAACCATGAACAGTCATCTAACAAAGGTGATGTTTGCTCTGCTGCATCCTCACAGACATCATTTGCAGATTCTTGGACAGCAGATAGACTATTTACAACTAATTCCTTTTGTTCAGAAACCTCACTGCTGGTTGATGGGGTTGGAACACTTGGTGATGGTACAGAATTCTTCTCTTTGTTATTTTTAGACTGAAGCTTTCCACTCCTCTTGGGCGGCAACTTCGTCTTATTTGCTCGAGAGGTGGGTTGGGCAGTCTTAGATGGGGATTTTCTGGTTGGAACTGACAATGACAGATCTAAAAATGACTCGTACACAGTTGAGGAGTGACCACATTCGACACAGCGAACAGTACTTGCTATTTGGCCCCCAAATGCAGTATCGACAAAAGTAGGACCCGAATTTGAAGGATTCCCATTTTCCTGAGAAGAATTTATACGTTTCCTCATACTCAACTCCTCAATGCAGAATCCATCCAGTAAGCAACGAAGCAATTCATGGCTGTCTTGCTGCTGATACCCCCCAAATTGGGGAGCCTTGGAACAAACACACCCAAAAAGAGACCTTGGGTTTATCACATTCTTAACTCCTGACTCTGGTTTTGCTTCAGTAAAGAGTTTCTTCAAGGAAACAGTAAGAGCTCCAGTAGATGCATCTAAATTTAAGAAGTAACCCCGCAACCTATCCATGGCTAGAAGGTTCTGTAAGACAGAATTAAAGAAGCAAGTGTTACCAAGATTAACCAAGCCTCTCACCGTATAACCAACTCTTCCATCCAAATCACATGATATATTGCTAGCTGATTTGATTTCGCTTGTCAAACTGCCACTCACAAACCACACATCCTCAGCATTAACCAATGATTCCTCCGATGAATGACCCTTTATCAATTTAACAACATCCGCAAACACAACTTTTTGTTCACCATCCTCTTCTGTCTTGTCAATTGTAATAAGCATGTTGCACGGGAAGCACCATCGCATCTGCGGCTTTTCAAAGTGGATCACTATTGGATGACGAGTTTGCCTAGCATGCCGAACTGCATGGCATTGAGGGGTTGTGGGAAGTCCAAACCCACCGCAAGAATAATGACCACACTGCAAACAAACCCAAATGGCTTTGGACTCTGATTTTGAATCCACGGAGGAGCTCCCTTTCTTCTTCCCATGTTTTCCCTTTCCCTTACCGCCCCTCCTATCAAGCGCTCCTTCCCTGCAATATTCACACCTAACAGGCCCTGAAGACCCAATTTTAGCAGACAATTTATCCAAATTTACACCTTTGTCAACATGAGGACAAGGCCTTCTCTCTTTCGCAACTGAAACTCCATTGTCACCATCCTTAACACTTGGGTTGCATTGTTGGGGAGCTTTTTTTGGGGAATCGGCTGCCACCAACTTCTCCCTTGGAGGAGCTCTAGCCTTCTTCTTAACTTTCTTCCCCATAAATTCCTAAAACCAATCGAAATATGCCAGCTATAACAACAATAATAATGATAACAATATGAGCAAAAGATCAATAACAATTACCAACTACCGCAAACAACCAGATACGAACCAAACGGAAAATGTAAAACCGAATCCCATTAGCTACTCAAATAAATACATTCTGCTCAAAATTACACTAAAAAAGTAAAACCCATAACAGATGTTTAATTTTAAAAGAAACCCTTATGCAATAATTGAAAAAAAAAAAATCGAAGAAATGAGGAGAACAATCAAAATCCACTATATGCTACACCATAACTAACTACGGAAGGGCAAGAGACGGCTATGAAGATTCAGGTTTTTACAGAGAAACCCAACAAAGATTTGGATTGTAAAGCGCAAAAAACAGGTTATGGGCAATCGAAAAGGTGAAGTAGAAGCACAAATCAATCGACAATTAACTGAACTAAAACATTAAAATATTTAAAAATGTTCATTGTTTTACCTCAAAATCTGGAAAAGATGACCAGTAAAGCCTGGATAGCTTTTCAGGGCAATGGTCACATAGGATGAAAGAAGAGATTGGTGTTTGAGGTTTAGGATCTATCCAGGTCGGAGAGGCGGAGTGAGAGTGGAGTGCTGTATTTGATTGAAGGTCTTTTGGCGCACCTCCTAATCTTTTGCTTACTAGCTACTCTCCCCAATGACTGAGAGAGAGAGATGGGAGAAGAGTAACAGTGGGTAACTGGTAATAGAGAGAGAGCCGAGAGAGGAATTTTGTTGATTTTGTTTGGTTTTCTATTTTGGTGCGACAGGATTTTGTTGTTGTTGTTGCTGGAATCAAGATGGACATATTGGTTTTGTGGCAAATTTATATTTGGCACTAACTGTAGCAGATTATTTGTTACACGGTCAATCATGTTGTTGACTCTAAAAATTGTTTAACTTACATGGCGCGCATGTCGAATAGTTAATAAGTTAACAACGTCCTTCGGTTAAATGCAATGCGAGCCAACTCGTTGATCGAGCTCGGTCGGTGAGTGAATGAATGTGGTGGTGGTGGTTTCGAACGCATTGTTGTATTTTGAGATTACGGTTGAGGAAGAAATTCATCTCGGCCTCTAGGTTCTAGATCTTGAAGACAATGTTACAAGTCTCTGTGAAGTTCACAAACCGTCTGCACCAGGCTTGACTACTTCAATTATATTTGTGCAAATATAAGTGCCCCAAATTGGTATCAGACTGTATGGACACAAATATTCAAAGATGATAAGTGTCTTGATTGTAAATGTGGTTTGGCCGTCGAAGTGCCAAACTCTGAAATGTACTTGTGAATATCCAATCATAAAATAGGTTCAGTTTTCAATGTTTTAAACGATGTATCTTGGTAACACCTCACTTCGCTAAGAAAGCTAATGAAGTGACCTCTTCCAACAAGGACTCAAAGAACCCTTGTTGATAGAGACTTGGATAGGTAGTTAACCGAACTTGGAGTATGCTGTCCAATACAAACTATAAGATGCACCACGACTGCCTGACTTTACAATGCCAGTGTTGTCCAATACCAAGGTTTTAAAAAACGTTAAGCGCTAGTCGAGCAACAGGCTAGCGCCTAGGCGGCTATGCAAGGTCTAGGAGGGCACCTAGACGGCCTAGGCGGATTTAGATAAATTTCTGTTTTATTTTATGAATTAATTAAATTTATTATATAAAATGTAAATAATTATTGACTAATATGTTATTTCTTATAGAAAAACATACATATGTGAATGTTTTTTGTACATATATGATATACTTGCCTAGGAAGAAAAAAAAACAAAATATTATCTAAATAATTTATAATTTATATAAGATTTATATATGTGTATACACACACACACACACACACACACACACACACACACACCAAACTTTTAAAAATATAAAAAGCCCACATAGTGGGTGGTTTTCATTACTAAAACCATCCAACCGTCCACCTCACCTCTGCTCTTTCACATCACCCGTCCACCTTGGGTGGTTTCATAATTAAAACCATGTCAGAGTCCATGGTTTTCATGATTAAAACCATGCTTTTGACCTTGGATTCCCAGCCCTCAACTTGCATGGTTGCACCTCCACATATTCAAATGTTCAAGTCTTTCTCTCTTTCTCTCTTTTCGCACTCTCTCTTCTCTCATCTTCACAGACAAGCTGCAGATGCACTTTTTATTCCCTCATCCTCACAGAGAGGAGTTGCAAAAATTCACCCGCAGTCTCTCTCTCTCTCTCTTCGCACTCTCTCTTCCCTCATCTTCATAGTGACAAGCTACATAAATTTTTCGGGGCTTTGCTACTACATACGAGATCGAAGTTGTAGATCCTTTAGGAAAATTGCAGCAAGTTTGGGATTTGCAGCGAGATTCAAACCGCCTAGACTACCACCGAACGTCGCCTAGCTCGCCTTAGGTGCCTAGCGAGCGCCTAGGCGGCCGCCTAACTGAACGTTTTGGTCTAAATCGGGTCGGAGCTCCGCCGCCTAGTGCCTAGGCCGATATTTAGAACACTGTCCAATACAAACTGTAAGATGTTGTCGGTTATCGAGCATAGTGTTGTCCAATACAAAATGTAAAACATGCTCGACGAGGTTGCCATGCACAGTGTTGTCCAATACAAACTGTAAGATATGATTGACGAAGGTAGGGAGGTTAGTGTTTTTCTCAAAGATGAGAGGGTTTCGTGTAGTGTGAGAAGTTACGCAAGGCAGATTTGTATGTTGTGTTGAAGGTCATTTGAATGTTGCAAACCATCTTCTATTTATAGGAGTGATTTTCACCTGGTGTTGAGGTAAAGTCCCATTCAGACTAAATCTCCCCGATATGTCTTGATCCAATAATGAATCATCTTCTCATTTGGATTGAACTCGACCACTGGTACCATACTTAGGACTCTGAACCTAGTCATCTCTTGGCATTCAATTCTCTCCTTGTTCTAATTAGATCTTTAGAATATTACGAATCTTATTATGCTATCCTAATCTTTGAAGACTCTTGATTAAATCATGACTTAGTTGAATTCATTCTTGATTTTCAAGTGTCCATCATTAATTCAAACTCAGCTAAACTACTTTGGGCTAGCCTTCTTATCCAAATAGACCTGGGACATAAGTCTGTCTTACTATGGGCTGATCCCATAATCTTACTCGGCACAAATCCATTATTTTGGGTCTAAACATTGCCCCTTTGCTTCTGGAATCTTTGGCCAATAACCTTTGGCTAAGAGGTTTCGAAGAAGTGAAACGTTACTCAGCCAAGGATACATGTCCAATTGTCCTAAGGAAGTTAAGACCCATTAACTCGAACATTTAATGCACTCGATTCCTATAACAAAACCAAATCCCAAACCAACTAGGAAACACAAATCCAAATATCTTGCATCCAAGATATCCTAATCCTTTTTAGTTTAGGCATTTAATGCCAAATCCAACAATCTCCACCTTGGCATGAAATTCATAACGAGGCACTAAACAACTTACGTTGCTTCACCATATCGCAAGATCAAACTTGCTTCAACTGCACCAAATCTAAGCAGTGCTCAAACTTAGCTGCATCAACCACTTTTGTCAGTATATCAGCTGGATTATCTTCTGTAGCAACCTTTTTTTAGACAAATCACACATTCTGCTACCACTTCTCTTACAAAATGATATTGTACATCAATATGCTTAGTCCTAGCATGATGTATGTGATATCTGGCCAAATAAATGGCACTTTGGCTGTCACAATATACATCCAACTTATGTTGTTCTACACTTAAGTCTCCTAACAACCCCAGAGTCCACATTGCTTCTTTGATAGCTTCAACGATGTACATGTATTCTACTTATGAGGTTGATAGTGCCACCGTTGGTTGCAATATTGATCTCCAGCATATAGGACCCTTTGCCATAGTAAACACATACCCAGTCATCGATCTTCTCTTGGCTAAGTCTCCAGCAAAGTCTGAGTTCACATATCCAACTGAGAACTTATCAATTCCTTCATCACATCTTTCAAAACAAATACCTTTGTTCCTCGTTCTATGTAAATAACTTAGTATCCACTTAGTAGCATTCCAATGCTCTCTTCCAAGATTATGCATGAATCTACTAACAATTCTAACTGCGTGTGCTATATCAGGACGAGTACACACCATAGCATACATTAATCCTCCAACCAAATTAGAATATGGAATACCATTTATCTTCATCTTTTCTTTATTAGTTTTGGGACATTGTTGACTGCTCAACTTGAAGTGAGCACCTAATGGAGTTCCTACAGGCCCAATGTCTTTTGTTACTCCAAACTTTTGTAACAACTTCTTAAGATATTGCTTCTAAGACAAACACACCAAACCTTTTTGTGTATCCTTTGTGATCTCCATTCTTAATATTTTATTGGCTTCACTGAGCTCTTTCATTTTAAACTCCCTTCTCATTTGCTCCTTCAACTTTTCTATCTCTGAAATATTGCGTAAGGCTATGAGCATGTTGTCCACATAGATTAACAAGTACATGAACGAACCATCTTTCAACTTCTTGTGATAAACACAGTGATCATAGTGACTTCTGGTATAGTCTTGACCCTTCATAAACTTATCAAATATTAAATACCACTGAATGGGAAACTGCTTCAAAACATAAAGAGATTTTCTAAGCTTACAAACCAATATTTCTTTGCCCTTCACTTGATACCCCTCGGGTTGTCTCCTATAAATCTCTTCATCCAAATTACCATGAAGGAATGCAATCTTCATGTCTACTTGTACCAATTCAAGGTTGAAATGTGCAATAGGGCAAGCAATATTCGACTGGAGGAGTGCTTAACCATAGGAGAAAAAAACTCATTGTAATCTATTTCCTCATTCTGAGCATATCCTTTAGCCACTAGCCTAGCTTTAAATCTTACCAAGCTTTTGTCATATCCTCCATCATTCTTCGCATAAACCTATTTGCAGCCAATTGCTTTTCTTCCTCTAGGCAGCTCCACCAATTCCCAAGTCTTATTCTTGTGAAGGGAGAGCATTTCATCGTCCATTGCATCATCCCATTTCTCTTCTTTACTATTTACAGCTTCTTCAAAATTAGTGGGAATTTCAACCTTAATTATTAGCAATGCATATACCATGCAGGCCATGCAATCTTTATATCTCGCAGGTAGGGATATGCCTCTTTTTCCCTTCCTTTTGGCTATGCAACCATCTTGTAACTTTATTTCTTCTGATGGTGTTTCTTCTTCGTGATCACTTTCTTCATGCTCAAGTTGATTACCTTGTCTTTCTTATTCCACAACTTCCTTACTTGGCTGTGAATTCACAATTACTTGTTCCTTAAGCTCCACCATTTGAACATCTTCTTTCAATTTCATGTGACCTTCATCAAATGTCACATCTCTACTTACTATAATCTTGTTCAACTCGGGACACCAAAGTCTGAAGCCTTTCACACCACTTTTGAATCCCATAAAGATAGCTTTCTTGGCTCGTGGATCTAGTTTGTTTTCTTTCAAATGAAAGTAGGCATTGCATCCAAACACTCGTAACTTATCGTAGTCCTGAGCTGGTTCTCTAGACCACACTTCAATGGGTGTTCTACCCTCTAATGTTGTTGATGGTAGTCGATGCATAGCACAAAGTTTCTGCCCAAAATCTCTTTGGCAGCTTAGCTTGAGATAGCATGCAACGAACTATCTCGAGCAAGGTCCTATTTAGTCTCTTTACAATCTCATTCTGCTGTGGAGTATGTCTAACGCTGAAATGCTGAGTAATCCCTTCCTTTTTACACACTTTGA